GTTAGAATAGATAATAGCTTTTTTTCCTTTCTTTTTGTCAAAAATTCCTTTTTTATTCCTTTTTTCCCTTGTGTAGTTTCTATAAGAGGGGGTGACACAATTTGGATTTATGGTTGTGACTGTGGAGGTGATCTGCAGGTGCTGATCCTATTGGAAATTTGGGATCTTAATCCCATCCTTTAGGGAACAATACATCACTCCCATAAATCGCATCTAGAGGCTTCGGCTAAAGACAGGTGAGTTGGGTCGGAGAAATTTGAACTTTGTATGTATTCTCGTACGTGTAATGGTTCTTTATGATTTAATAAATAAATGACACCAATCTGATTGTGGGATTAAAAAAAAAAAATAAAGTAATTTTATGATTTTTTTTTTTTTAAATTTATTAATTCCAATAATTTATATTTACAAAATTTTTTTAAAAAATTATTATTATTATTATTTTATAATTAATTATTATATAATTTTTATTAATAAAAAAAAATAAATAAATCACTATTATAAATAATTCAATCATTAGATTAATTTTTAAGCTATAATCAAATGTGATTTCTGTTTTTAGGATTTTGAATAGAATTAATAGAATTTAAAAAAAGTGTGTAAAATAAACCGCATAAAAAATATATAGTATATAATATAATATTCTAATAATCATTAATATAAAAAAAATCGCCGTGCTGATATTAGATTGAAATTTAGAATTTAATTATTGCTTAAAAAAAAAATTTTTTTGTAAATCAATAAAAAAAAAAAAGACAGTGTAGTCTAAAATTTTATTCCATTGTTTAGATTGTGAGAGACAAGTTATAATGCCACAAATTTTTTTGATTCGATAAATTCGACGATATGCAACAAAGAGCGTCAAATAGCTTCTCATCTTTTATTTTCAATTTATTTAGACAATTTGAAGACGTACAGTATATCGCACTTGTGATTATATAGAAAAAAAAGAAATTTTATAAAAATCTGGAAATTCGGGTTCCATCAATTCTTTTATTGTGATGGTTGAAGCCGAAGGTATGTAGCACTTCTTTTTTTTGATAAAAGGTTCTACATGATGTCTTGTTTTTATTTCTTTCTATTAGAAAGATGCCTCGTTGAAATAAAACGTTCGTGGGATAAAGCTGACAGGAGACAAACTAAAAAGGTTTGTTTAAACTTCATTAACTTCGTTAAATTATAAATAAATATGAAATAATAAAAAATTTTACCGGAATCTTCTCGACCTTATTCATTTTATATCTTGAATAATTGGTCGTCACCTCTTAATAAATTATTGTAAAGAAAAATAAGAAAAACTACATTGATCAAAAAGGGATAAGATCGAGGCCCTAAATTGAAAAATAAGTATATTACAGTACATTAAACTCATCATACCAGTGTTTTTTTACATGTCTAAATTTCCAGACAAGATGTATATTCAAACCTTTAAACACAAGTAATTTTGCTTAGACGGTCGCAAAAAGACAAGTGTTCAATCAAACTCATGAATCGCCTGAAGAAATACATAGGGATCATTGTTATCATCGCATGCGCCTTGCATATGAAGTTTCTTGATTAATCCCCCAGCAGTTCCAGTATATTCCTTTATGACACCCGAGTAACGATTGATGGATGCTGTGTCATTCCAAGCAAGAAACTTAATCTGCTTTCCAAATTCTTGTAAAAAAGACTTCAATCCTGAAGGAGCAAATGGCCATCCGCGTAAATCCAGGTGAGACAAGCTGGATGGCATCCGACGTCCAATATCTGGCAACAAATAATCTACATCACATCTGAAAGCCCTTGAAACTTTTGGAACGGTCAATCTTTCAAGACGTCTACATGCCAACAATATCGGAAATATTTGTCTCTCGAGATTATTCATATTGACCTCAAGAGTTCGCAGATTTGATCCATATAATACGACATCTTCAATAAGCTCGGGACAACAATGAAGCATGTTACCCAATTTGAGTTCTTTCAAATGCGACCCGTTTATCGATAGGAACGAAGAAAGTTCATTTTTTGGCAATTCCCTGCTAAAATGATCCCATTCTGAATAGGACCAGGCTTGGGGTGAATACTCAAAGTATTCTAGCTTTGGGTATCGTACCTTCGATAGTGGTTTCAACACATTATTAATCAGTGCGAAACATTGTTCAAATCGAAGTGAAACCAAATTCTTGCACCCTCGAAGATTTGATAACGCATCACCTATTATGTGATTACGAAACCAGCAATTCCGAAAAATCACATGCGTCAAGGTAGCCTCCTGGGTCGTCAATGCCGGTAAGATATCGGTAAAGTGAATACACTGTTCCAGCGTAAATTCGGTCAATCGGTGCTGCGCTGTAATGAAATCAGCCATAGGTTGCATCGGCGTCACTACCTCGGTGGATGGACCATTTCGAGTATCCTCAGCAATGGTGAGCGAACGAATGTTTCGGGATACCTTATCGAATGCACATAGAACGCGTGACTTATTGAAGTTTCCCGAGAGAACGAGGTTTCCCAATCGCGATAGGTTTATTTCACATAAGTTGATGGTCTGATATAATAAATCTGCGGATGGATCAAATTCAGTCACATCAATGGTGAAGCTGCTTATGTGCCGAGATCGAGTTAATAAGACTTTGCAAATTTCTTGAAAGAGAAGTAAGGACGTCGATAATGATTTTGCATTGTCGCTTTTGTCACTTGAATCGCACATATTTTTCTCTTTCAGTGGTTTTCTACTCAGAAGCCATGCTGAAACTGCTCGATTCACACATTTAAAATCGAACTCTCTGAGAAATGCCGGATAGTCAAAAAGAGAATGACCGCAGTACTCTGATTCCCTGATGCCCACATTCTTCTTTACATCATCGCTAAGAAAAGATACATAAGTTGAAATAATCTTTGGAGAAGAAGAAGTCAGGAAAGGATTCAGCCACAGTAAGGCGACAGCATTTCTGCACCATTGACGGTTAACAAGAATGCAGGCGTGAAGAATTTTAATGTCTTCTGGTGAAAAATAGGAAAATATTTTTTGTAACAATTCGGAGGGTAAATGTTGTACCATCGTCCCTATCAATCATTAAAGAAAAATTCAAATTCTATTATATTCGAAATGAATGCAATATAGTAATTGGTAATTGGAAACAATGAGCCCAGTTGCCTCAAGACATTTTAACTATGCTTTTACCGTTTATTTATATCCATAAAGGATTTTCCAAAATCAGATTATGTGAGTAATGACCATATTCGGAATTTGTGCGGACTATCAAGTATTACTCCAACCAATCAATGCAAACGCGGGAAACGATGTGTTCCTCACATCCGAAAATGGATGCAAAGTAAATTCTATTTGGTAGAGGGCTGAGGCGCGTACATACCAAGAAATTTAAATAAATAGATCAGCACATCTAAAAGATTCTTATAAACTTCGGTTTGCAAAAAAAAAAATAACAAAGTTAGGGACAGGTCTCCCTAAGTACATGGTTTTCAATGTTTATACACTCTTTTATTTAACTTGCGTTACAAAATAACCATTATTCATTTACGTTCGTAATGATAAATATAAATAGTAATAGTAGCAGTTCATTTCCTCCAGAAGTTCTTGCTAAAGAATTCTATGGATTCAAAATATATGCGACCTGTGCGATTGCTGTATATCTTTATGATTCAATAATGCACATACGAAAAGAGTGGCTTTGGTATTCAAAGAAAGTATGGTCAGTGTTCGATATAATCAGTCTTTTGCTCGAAAAGTAAGTTCATCACTTATCATAATACTGTACGATTTCTGTTGTCACAGTGATCTTATCATTTTCTATTTTTTTTTCCCTAAATCAATAAATATATCAGAGCAAATTCAATAGCCTATCTTATATCAGTACTATTTTTCTTACATTTCCACACACAGTCCTGCGAATCACTAGGAATTCTTTCGCTCTGTTACTACGCAGTAGGAGTTGGGATCCAATGTGTTATACTGTTATCAATCCTCCGAACAAACTATCCAAATTCAACCATTCTAATAATATTCCTTTGTTTTATTGCGCTCATTACCTGCATTCTGCATGCTGCAAATATATTCGAATTTAACGAATTTATCATTGGAAATGATGGAAATTGTTATCAAGATGGACAAACTATGCAGAAATGGATTGCTGTCTCTTTTGTCATGATGATGATATTCAGCTGGATCGTATTCGGATTGATTTCAATAAAAATATACTGGAAGCGGAAACGCAACATATTTGGGAATACATTAAGTGGAAGATTAATTCTATTTAATGACGGTCTTTTATATTTAGCGGCAAATGCTCTTTTTCAGTTGATAAATATTATCTTTATCTTTGCTGGAAAAGACTATATAATTCGATTTGCAAATGTGACTCCTGCATTCTTGGTTACTTCCGTGTGTTGTCAACGATTGCTGGTATTAGGCGCGACATCAACCAAACATCACTCTTCAATAATTCGATCCACCTTACCTTCATTCCATCAAGACAATAACAATCCGATCTTTCCACAACAAAGCAATGAATCCTCTATAATTAACAATAATGCTCCTGAATTTCCACCATCAACAGTTCACCGTCCTCATCACCCAACCTTACAAACTCTTTCTGTACATTCTCAATTTCCTGCTAGCATTACGATTGATCCTCCAACACCCATAATGAACTCGGACTTCTCCTCTTCTTTACTTTCTATAATGAACAATTTCACTTCTATGAACAATCACACGTTAAATAATCATTTACATAATTCGCTGAGTAGTTTACATAGCTTTGGCAAGAATAGCAGTAGCCATGATACAATGAAAAGTCGTCATTCAAATAATTCCAATAGCAATCATTCCTCAAACCTTAGTTTTCATCAAAACCCTGAGAGTAGCTCTTCGCTACAGGCAAACTCCAATTCACAAAATCAGACAAGGAGTAGTCATGAAAGTGGACGTTCGAATAGGTCCATCTTAACTACTATACAAAATGTTTTTAGAAGCAGTCGAGAAGGCAGATCACGTGATGAAGAGAATGATCCGAATGACGTTTATTACTTTAGGTATAGTAATGTAGAAAATGATGAGGATGTATACATGTTTCCGAAAACTCCTTCACGTCCTGCCCTACGAAAATAATGAAACAACCTTTTCTCGCAAAGCTAAAAGCAAATTAGGTAACAATGTAAATAAAAAATTAATATAATAAATAAACTAAATACACAATTTAATGTAAAACTGAAAGTATAAAAATATAAATGTACATTTATTAAATATTAATTAAAAAAAATTATTCAAATATACATATTTATTTATTGTAAATGACCATCAACTGCAAAACATTTATTAAT